CTCCTCGTCCTTTCCACTTTTGGTTGAAATTTTATCCCCAAGTTAATTTGGCATATTTTACTATTCGCAAGCACACTTGCACCATTTAACGATCTCCACTGTATCACTTGGTCCTGACCATAATAATGAACCGCAGCTACTCTAACCCAACGAGTAATATTCACGTAACAGTGTCTCTTGCTTTTCGATCACTGCCCGCTGTCGTATAGAATGTCCGTATTACCTACACCTTTGCACTGATATAATCCACAACGACGCAGAGAGAGAAAGGTATCTACATGCGGTACACGCCCGAATATCATCACTACCCCTGACTCGGGAGACTCTTCCAATTCCTTTCGCCATTTTTTTTATCCTGCGCTACGTATCCCTTATTCTTATCTATCACTATCTTAAGATTTCCCTTTTTTTTTTTTCAACCTTTAGGTTCTCCTCCAAGGGCTCTCTGCACACCATTTAGGTCTGCATAGGTTTCTCTTTCTTTTTGGATCATGCACGCAACCGCCTCTATTCCTCTTAGCTCTTAGACATTCGACATTTGGCCTTTTCAACAAAATATCTGGCTACCATGAGTATTTTAGTTGTTTGCTTTTTGCATGCTAGCTTACTAGGTGCTTTTGTTGACGCTGATAAATTTATTCACAAAGTTGTCACCTACTATCGCAGCCTGGTTCACATCCATCTCCTCTGCCTCCTCTAGATTGCTTCCCCTTTTTTGAACGTGAGCATGCCTCCCATGTAGGTTTATGCAGTTGGTATCCTCTTTGCCAACCCTGGTGCTTAACGATTAGTTGCTCTCTCTCCTGATGAACCTCTTCGATGTTGCTGTCGACCACCTCGTACCCTAACCAGATGCCTTCTTACTTTTGGCCGTCCCCACCCACCATTTTCGTTGCACGGTCGCCAAGATTTCGAAAGTAGTACTATTCTCGGCTAGTTTTAGGAGTTCGCCTCGTTCTAATTCCTCCTGACTTATTACATCATCAGCCTGTTGGTCACTAACTGCTTTTGCTGGTTTGATGGTCAGGCAAGAACCCTATAGTTAGCATTGACAACAGCTATGATGACCTTCAATGAGTTGAGACAACCACGATAGTCTTCAATTCACTTGGTGAATGTGCATCAGTTCAACCTAGCAATTGACGCATGCGCACAACTCAAGGTCAAAGTGCGCCCGGATCGGCCTTGCTTTTTCACTAATGACGTGCAGCTATGTTTCCAAGAGGTGCTCTTTTCTTAGGAGAAAGGAAGATAGGTAGCAGAAAATCCTCGACGTAGCTGTTACAACAACTTCCTATCGACCTGAACACAAGCAGCCAACTTGTTTTTTTTTTGCGGAAACGAATTTAGGGCCCCATTACGTTAGTAAACAATGCTATGACCTTAAGTACGGTTGGGAAGGAACGTAAAATAAAACACTGAAATTGTGAAAAGTTTATTTAATAACTAACATTATTATGAAGATTGTGAAAATTAGGACATTTAGTCGAAATAATAATAAATTAAATAAATATAGCAAACGAGCTCCTGGGTATGGCTATAGCATGTACAAAACCCAATTTTAAACCTGACGTTAGTTTTATTTTTATTTAAAGTGATACCTATGATTGACATTTCATTTAATTGCTTCCATAAATAAGAAAGTTGGCACTGCACATCCTACACAAATCCAAATTTGCTTTTATTTCAAGTGGCTATGTATCAAATTTTATTTAAATGCCTCCATAAATAAGAAAGTTGGCACTGCGCATGCGCAAAACCAAATTTTGAAACTGGCGTTAAATTTGCTTTTATTCCAAGAGGCTATGTATCAAATTTCATTTAAATACCTTCATAAATAAGAAAGTTTGCAATTCGGTCTGTAAATGGTCGAAATGCGCAAAGGGCACTGTGAATACTGATCGATTAGGCTCAACTTTTGGAATTGTGTTTTATATGGTTGAAGCTATGCGCGTATTGAATTTCATGCAATTCGTGATCCATAAATACATTCCAATTCACGAACTCCGATCTATAAATTTCATAAAGAATACACCTGCAAAATTTCATCGTAATCGGTCCATTCGTTTATTATCGTGCTAACGGACGGACGGACGGACAGACACCACAAAATTATAAACTCGCTAGGAGCTGGTTAATAAACATTAGAAATGGGCTGGGGAAAAAAAGAACGTGCCAAAAAAAAACCAGGCGACAAATTAATATTAAACTGTGTACCAAAAATAATTGTTTGTAGTGATGTAAGTGCATAACATATAGTTACAATATTACAAAATATGTAGCTTGTAGGCTTCGAGAGGTTAAAAACAAGTTTTAGGAACAATGGGTCAGGTAAGCAAGTACCAAGGCTCTGACAAAGGGTGAAATGCACAGGATGTGGCTCATCTTTGGTGCAATACAATCCGTCTGTTACGAGCAAAATAGAACATTACATGACCTTGTAAGGCAAATTTCATGTTATGGCAAAATATCTTAAAATATCAACTCATATATCACACATAGATTTTAAACCGAAGAGTTTTAATTAGCATAATCTCACCCTCGAGATATGTAACTCGCCCCTCGTTCGGGGCCAAGACCATGTAACCAAAACATGAACAAAAATGTAGCAAACATTACACCAAACATGAAGGCGATTTCAAACAACAGGTTAACTGTACTAAACAGATGAATTGCATTCTACACTGAGGTTGAATCGAGTCATCAAAGATTGAAATTCACAAAAAATATGAAATGCGGCATACAAATCCATTATAAAGAAATGCAAAGATTACTACCTGCATTAAGTAACACAAAAATAACAAACTTTTACGAACGATGAAAATGTTTGCATCGTCGTAGGTTATACAGCACGGAACCTCTAATAACTCAATCTACAACAAATTAAAATTCTACCTTCAGCTATATCCTTAGGCAGTAATAACTAATAACATTAATTTTACACTTATCCAAACTTTTAATTAAAATTATTGTTACTATTAGAATTATTATTATTTTTGTATTTCTCTTCCTTAGTTTTATAATAACTTATTCATTATTACCTAAAATCAATTTGTTTTCATTTTAAATTAATTGTACAGGCACTTACGTTATTTTAATTTTCAGTTTGTTACACTTAATGTAACTTAATAAATAAATCAATTTACAGATTGTATTTATTGAACACAAATCAACTTTAAATCTTCACTATCAAATCCAACTCCAATTGGTTCATAAATAAATTCATGCAATGCAAAGGGCTTCAATTTACCGATACCTACATTGATATCTTTAAGAAAGTAAATTCAATTTTCCTTGCCTGTTACTAACATCAACCAAATGTAGTTACGAACTTGATTGTAAAGCTACCCAACCCTTAACTTTACAGAAATAAGAGCACTCACATAAATAATTTCCTTTAGCAGATGGCGTTTATACAAAATTTAATAAAGTTTGAACGAAAACAACAAATAACAAATTGTATTTATAGCCACGATGGGCTTACTCTTATGGATCGGCGGGTTTTGAAAAAAATTTTTTCGGACGTCAACTTCTATATTTATAAAGCAATGAAGATTTGTTTTCCCAAACAGGTTTCTGAACGCTTTACCATTACGAATTCAGACACAGGTCAATCCCTTTTCCCTCGCTCGCGGCTAAATAACTTAACTGCCGAAAATTTTTAATATTCATTTATGTCAGAGACGTTATAGCAAGTCTCTGATTTATGTCAACGGAAACACTAACACTTTTAATTGAGTTGTTCTTGATCGAATACGGCTGTAATTTATGGGACGGAAACACGATTACTCAACGATCACGTTTTTTCTTTTTTCTAAATGTACGATAATTCCTTCTTTGGTGTAACAACAAACACGGTTAATTAATTTACATACCGGTGTTAGTTTTGCAGTAGTAGTAGTAAACTCGCAGGATTTTAGTTTCAAAAAAACTTACCTGAAAATATAAAAATTTTCTCACTTGAAATTTTGTCACGCAAACTGTGGTTACACCTTTTCACAAAACCGGAAATTTGTTTAGCAATATGGTTAACTCTTCCGTAGCCCAAAGCCAACTGCCTTCAAAAATCTCTCCAGATTCACCCCTACCTATATCTTTTTAATCAATGAACGCCCTTTTAAAAATGACTTCTAGTAATTAAGTGAACCATCCGCCACGCGCCAGATTATAAATTTGTGGGTATGTTTTATCTAGACGTGCTGCACCAATGATATTCTCTCTAACTATATCATCTAAATCACAAGAAACCTAAACAACAGATGACACCTGCGTCCAAGAATGTAGTTATCTAGTAAAATAAAATTTAAATCTGTGAAAATTGGATACGTTCTTTTTTTGCCTTATTATTTACAATATTGACGTGCTCAGTTATCCGCATGCAACGGAAGCCGGAAGCTCTGAACACTCACGTGAGCCAATGTTGATCAACAGTATAAAACCTAAAACTTCTTTGTTCAAAGAATGTTTCTGATCCTTGAAAACCCCTCCAAGCTTTGATTTGTATTTGCTAAATTATTATGACTAACCTTTTGTATTTATTTACTCGTGAGGAATAAAATTGAACGGATTTAATCTCTATGAAGTGCTCTAGAGTCTAGAGTTTTTAATTGTTCACTGTAGGAATACAGTTATGCAACTACCGCAATTACGGAACAGAATTTCACAAAAAGAAAATAAGATACCCACTTAAAACTAGTTACATTTCTGATGAATGCAGAAAATTATCGCAAAGAGGGAACTTTTGTACAAAGTATGTAAATGTGTGTAAATTATTTCCTTAGTGCAACCAAGGTAGATATTTTGATTAGTCTTATGAAAAAAAGGTGCACCTTTAAATTATACTTTAGCGGAATCTGCAATTTAAATTCACATGCTTCACTTTAAACCGATGTAGGTATTAGCAATATCAGAAAATAAAAGCAAACGTTTTGCCACAGTTGTTGCTCAAGTGTAAAGCGAACATTTATTCAAAGTAAAACAGTTTCGACATTATCTTTCAGGAGTTGCGAACTCTGGAGTGCAGAGGGTGCGGGTTAAGTAGGATAAACACACAGATCTACCACCTCCTGCCTTATCTAACACATTTAGACTTGGGAAACAACAGAATGCAGTTTATCGCATCCGACGAGTTTCAAGATTTAAGACGAATACATTCAATTAAATTAGATGGTAATATGTTTCCTGTGGTGCTCGAGAAGACGTTCGTCAATCAAGGCGAGCTGCGAACGTTGTGTTTAGCGAGGAACCGACTGGCGAAGATAACCAACACTGCCTTTTTAAACCTAAGTAAATTATACGAACTGGACATTAGCTATAATAAATTAAATCGCGTGGAAGGTGTAGCGTTTCAACCGCTCGCCGACTCGCTACGAAAACTATCAGTAAGTGGCAATCAATTTTCGGAAGAAGTTCTTCGAATTATACTGCAAACAGCAATAAAACTTCAACGATTCGACATTGCCGATATAGGAATTAATCATTTTCCGGACGGAATCTTTCCCGACCATCTAAGATCGTTAAATTTATCCGGGAATAATTTAACCGAAATAGGAATAAAAGTTTTACCTCAGCAACTTGTTGAGCTGGACATTTCAAGAAATAAATTTCGCGGTTTAGATGAGCACGTCGTGCTGAGGCTAGAGCAGTTGAACACTCTTAGAGTAGAAAATAATTCGTGGTCTTGTGACTTGTGTAACATGAAAACGGTAATAATGAGAATAAATAAAAGTGTCTCCTTTCGAAATGCCACTTGTGCCTCGCCCGCTAGACTAAAAGGACTTAAAATGGGTACGTTAAGGACTGAGGATGTGACGGACTGTTCGGACGACGACGATTTTGAGAGAGACGGTTTCTTTGTTTTCGTCGAAGATAATTTGGTGATTTTAATTGGTGGTGCCGGTTTATTTCTGTTTTTAGTCGCGTGCGTAACATTCGTAGTTTACTCGTGCTTGCAAAGGCAAGTCGTTCGCGTAGATGATGAATTGAAACGCGAGAGTGAGAGAGAAGCTGTGTTTGAGAACCCAGCGGCTATCTTCGGAGATAAAGCAGAAATCAGCTTTAAGTTCTCGTTAGATTTGACGGAAAGAAAAGTATCGGTCTCAACAATCGATGAGATCAAGAAAGATACGCAACTCTACAGCCTTCCCAACGGCACTGGAATTGGAATATGAAGTTTTCGAAGATTGTGTTCTGTGCGCGCTATAATAAAATACATTCTGTTGACAAAAACCGCAAGGGACCTTTGCTATATGTCAACTGTGTTTCAGTCAACCAATGTACATTTAACGTCCTCGTTCTACTTTTTAGGTCGATAAAACGCACATATCGTTGTTATAAGATGTGTTTTTTGCAGATAATGACACCATTATTGAGTCATATCAATCAAGGATGCATTTGATATGCGTTATTGAACTAGTGCCTAAACTTTTGTATGATTTCACTATGTTCGTCACAGACGTGAATAAAATAAAGTTGTAGATATCGAAAATAAATTATACTTCAAATATCTGGCCAATTGAATTATTTATAGCCTTTAATAGTTGTTAACAGAATGGAAGCTCGGAAGTGAAAGGCAAAATTGAAAAATTCAGGGAGATATCGTGCGATCATAAATCAAGATTACATTCACCGATACATTAAAAGCTTACGATGGGAATCGATATACTGAAAAAATAATGTAGCCAGTAATCCTCTTCAGCCTAATCTAGTGCTGTTCTCAACTGTCGTAATAGCCCAATTCGTCAAATTAAGGGCTACAAAATTCAAATGAAAATTGGTTCTTTATGGCTCGAATTTCCATTGCGCTGAAAGGTAAGTGATTTTAAATTTTCATTTTCATAGACTTCGAGAGGTACATAATAAGGTAATTTATTATCTTACACGCCATCCCTAAAAGAAAGTGCTCATCTGTCAGCTGTCGACTGAAATAAAAGCGCAGGGGGCGAATCTACATCTGTAAAAAAACGTTAAGTGGTGACCTACAGCGCAAAATGTTACTAAATAATGTGAGTGGAAACTTTTTTCTTTCTAGGATGGGTTAGGGGACACTTTCAAGGCAACCAATATCTACTACATTTAGTTTTTCGTAACATACTTCCGTACTGTGAGGCTCAACAGCAATAAGTGTCGTTCTGCTACACGTGCATAGAATTGCCATAGAAATTTATACCATCGAGATAATCCCACGAATTAGCTATGTAGCTGCACCTTCTTAGTAGCAAAGCCAACGAATTGCTTTATGTCAAAGTCATTCTTGGTGTACTTCGCGAAAGATCACATGATGCATTATTTAGATGAATAATTCCGTTGCTAATTACATTTCCGTCAGAATTTTCCGTTGAAAAGCAGCTGTAACAGTTACGAAAGAAAACCGTTGTTCTCATATAAAGCGTTTCCATTAAAAGCTTACCGGACAAATGTTTACAGTAATAACTTTGTTGCGAATCCGCAATCTCTAAGTTACACCATCTCCAGAGATATCGAAAATCATGCGAAGTTTGCATTAATCTCCGACAAAAATGTTCATTACCATGAGTCTTTCGATATCATGATTTGAATCGTCTTAAAAGTCAGCTTTTCAGGAGCACTTTAGGGAGCGTAAGGATATAATTAGGTTAAAACAACAATCAAACCAGAAAGGAGACGTTACTGTTGAAGTAATCTTGGAGAGATTACAGCAAAATCGAGTAACATTTTGTCATAAATTAATTGTATTATTGGTCGATAGGAGTGGCTGTGATAAATTTCGGTTACCAAAATAGAGATATATCTATGCTATTATAAAGATATGAGATGAACTCGTACGATTTCATTTTTATTATTCATGTAGTAGTCAACATGAAGCGTGTGTATATTTTAAGGGTAAACTGTTACACGCACGCTGTTCTTTTTCACAATAAATATGTAATAGATGAAATTACAAGGAAAACACGCAAAACTATACCGGTTGATTCAGCTGATTTCAACCGAAACTTGTATGACGTAATTCGCAATGCATAGAAATCCTGACCTTTATGTGAACAAAACATTACAGCGTACAGGCACTGCGATGTGATTATGGATTTGGAAATTTAGGAAATAATTTTGCGTATATCAACATTTATTTACCTATTCCGCAGCTTATATTGGTTTGGTAGCTTCCGTCGCCACGTTATAGTCCAGTCACTTTAGGATTTAACCTCTAAAAAATTCGATCAAGCTTGATTTTGCCATACTCCTTTATTTTGGCATTATAAACAATATGTAAAAAGTCAATTGTAAAATTGTGTGCGCTAAGTAAATTATTCAAGGTCAAATTAGTATTTCGTAAAAATCTCGTTAACTATTGGTTTTACGCCAATTTTGGTTAGTATAAAAAAAGTTTATTGCAAGATTCTAAATAAAAATTCATATATGAGGTCCAGAATGTTTGAACTCTGCAATACATTCGTTTCCGCGCCATCTTCGAGCTAGAATGCAAGGTGCGTTTTTTTACGTGGTATCCCTTTTAGGCCTAATCTATCTTCGTCACTGTCTCTCCCTTCAGAGTTCAGGCACTTCTTCGTCGTCATCTTTGCGTCTCAATTCTTTCCTTTTTTTACTCTCTTCTTCCTCACTGTCAAACTTGTCACAAAACACACTAAGTCCAAGGTGTACGTCAGTTTAAACTTCAGTTTAGTTTAACTGACAGATTTCAGAAAGACGATTGGTCAACTTGTGAAATATTATCCAATGAAATCCTTTAACTCACAATTTAATTATAAACTGAAGTTTAAACTGACATTGTACAGGGTGAGTCAACGATTGCGCGGAGTAACTTAATGCCTTGAAGATAAGATTTTTCGATAGAGTGCTTTTGTATTATGATATGGTTGAATACTCTCCACATTTTAAAAATATTTGGAATTATACAGGGTGCGCCCACAAAGTAGGGTGCCCAAATGGTACATTTTTTTTAATAGAACTCCCTGTATTTGAATGCATTTTTGAATTCTACGTGTAATGGTACGTCTTTTTCATTATATGATTAATATCCGAAAAGCTAGTAGTTTTAAAGATTATTCGATTTTTATGAAAAATTGGGCATTTGCAAGCGTCAGTATATAGTGTGTCCCAAATCGGGTGGGATTGCATGGGTAACTTTGTTATTATTAAAGATAGAGAATTGGTTAAATGGGCAATGTTTTGCAGTTTTGGATGCTTATTTAAAATTTCCTTATGGAAATTCAAAATGTCGCATAGGTTCGACGTAAATTCAAAAAAAACTAAAATTGGTCATTTCCTTAAATGTGTTATATCATCGAAAGTATAAGAGATATAAAAAAATGTTTTATATAAAAGTGACTGTCTTTGATACGCTTAATTTAGAATTGATGTAAAAAAAAATTTAAGATGGTCACTTTTGAGGAACATTTACCAACTTCCTAAAGTTAAATGGGCGCCATATTGGACTTTTAGATTACTTGATAGATTTTTAAATTCTCTTTTCAACGAGTTATTATAACATAAGATTGAAAATAAGATACCAGTTATATGAACGGTTTTTGTATTTTAATCAAGTAGTCTGTGACGAATAAAAAAAAACAAAACAAAATCTATTCGAGGCAACAAAACAATGAAAATAATTACACCAGATGTTTAAAATACTGGCCATTATTAGTGAAACACACTTTAAGACAGTTTAGTTTAGGCAACGTGTTGCCATTGATGATTATTATTATTATTGTAGTGGTAGCTACTTCCACTTTACTTTTATTTTTTAATTAAGTACTTACTTTTATAATTTAATGTACTGTACATAATTCGTGAATTGTGACCTGAGCAGCCAGTTTGTTGGTAGGTAGCATAAACTAACCCTTCCTTCGAAACATACGTTGTCGGGAAAAATCCTTTAAGGAAGTTTATTGGAGAATTTGTAAATCGTGGTGAGCAGTTAAAGATCCAACGAAGATTACCGGTCCAATTACATGACTTCCCATTATGCCATAAAATACATTAATTTAAAAAAATATTACTTGATTTCGGCGTGAAACTACAACATGTAGGTTTTCCTGTGACGAGTAGTGTTCATACTTTGGCTACAAGGGTCCTGGGTTCGAATCCCAGGTAAGGCATGGCTGTTTGTGATTGTATAGTGGGTTGAGTGGGAAGAGTAGCAAATTGCTAACACTCCGCCCACTATAAAATAAAGGCAATAAAAAAAAATAAGGTCGATTTGAACACTTCGCAGTAGGAAAAATAAGATTCATCTGTCCATATACTCGGACTGGTAAAACTGTTAGTTTCGATATTCTTGCGGATAAACCACCTACAAAATGTGACCTGGGACAATGCATCAATGGTAATACATTGTGTAAAATAAAGCGAAGTGTCTTGGAATGTCTTTAACTGGATAATGGCATGACTTTTTTCGAGGGGATGGTTTGTAGTAATACCACCATTTGTAGGTATGTAAGTATGGGTAATAAGTCAATAAGTGATGTTATATAAATCAAATTTTTCTAGACCTAATGCTTATATAAAATTTTGGAGGGAGTTGTAATGCCCAAACCCCCCCTCTCATGAGTGCGTCCCTGATTTTTTTAAACATCTGATTTAATTATTTTCATTGTTTTGTTGCCTGGAATAGATTTTGTTTTGTTTTTTTTAATTCATCACAGCCTACTTAATTAAAATATAAAAACCGTTGATATAACTGGTATCTTATTTTCAATCTTATGTTATGATGGCTCGTTGAAAAGAGAATTAAAAAATCTACCAAGTAATCTAAAAATCCCATATGGCGCCTATTTAACTTTAGGAAGTTGGTAAATGTTCCTCAAAAGTAGCCATCTTGAATTTTTTTGACATCAATTCTAAATTAAACGTATCAAAGACAGTAACTTTTATATAAAACTTTTTTTAATATCTCTTATACTTTCGATGATATAAGACATTCAAGGAAATTACCAATTTTAGTTTTTTTGAATTTACGTCGAACCTATGCGACATTTTGAATTTCCAAAAGGAAATTTTAAATAAGCATCTAAAACTGCAAAACATTGCCCATTTAACCAATTCTCTATCCTTAATAATAACAAAGTTACCCATGCAATCCCACCCGATCTGGGACACACTGTATATTGTCAAAATTATTACTTAAATTTTGATTCCCGGTTTTATATCTTTTATCCTGGATTAAGTAAAAGTCAAATAAATACATCTACTATAAAACATTATAAATATAGCTTACAGGGTGTTTTTTTGGTAGATCCAAAGTTGCAGAACTTCATATTAAAAAAATCTCCCTTTTTTTAAATGGAACACTCCGTATATTTTTCTGTCATCATTTAGCTCCTCAAAAAACCTTCAACTTTTGATAATAATGTCCTATTTCTGATAGTTTTCGAAATATATTGGTTTTCCTGGGTTTTATCTTCTACTCTTAAA